ATGGTGTGTGGACATGTGCGCGTGCGTGTGCATGTACGTGCGTGTGTGTGTGTGTGTGTGTGTGTGTGTGTGTGCACGTGCGTGCGTGCGTGCGTGTGTGTGTGTGTGTGTGTGTATGTGTGTATGTGTGTGTGTGTGTGTGTGTGTGTGTGTGTGTGTGTGTGTGTATGTGTGTTTAGGTCCAAGGTTGATGTCAGGAATCATCCCTGATCACTCCACCTTATTCTTTGAGGCAGCATCTCTCAATCAAACACAGGGCTTGCTGATGTTGAGAGTCTTACTAGCCAGCTTGCTCTGGGGAATCCCATCTCTGCTTTCTGAGGCTAAAATTACAAGTGGGTTACTGTGTCCACCTCGCATTTACGTGGGTTTCTGGGGATCTGAACTTGGGTCCTCAGGCTTACATTGCAAGTATTTTAACCACCGATTCCTCTCCCTAGCCCCAAGAATATCATTCTTCTGTGGCTGAATAATATTCCACTGTACACCACCCTCTCTTTAGTCCTTCATTTATCTGTTGATGGACATCTATGTTGACATCATATCCTAGCAAATGTGGACATGGAACATGCATCATTTTCACACTGCTGTAAAGCCGAAAGATCTAAGTTGAGCCAATGTAAGCCAGAGACCATCTGGACTTAATAAATGGAAATTGTAGATGATATTTGAGGCATAACTTGCCAATTAAAAGAGATTTTCTTTCCAGGATTAAGTTAAAACTTCATAAACAACAATGGCATGCCAAGACAGATGACTCTGGGTCCACAATTTAAGAAGTTATTATTATTATTTTAGATAGACTCTTGCTATGTCACCCAGGCTGATCTTGAACTTTTGATCCTCCTGCCTCACCCTTCCAAGTGCTGAGACTAAAGATGTGTGCCACTATGCCTGTCCAGAAATGAATTTTTAAATAGTTTGTATCGTTGAGTAATAGCCCCAACAGGTAACTTCTCTGGCTGAGGTTGGTCTCCTCTGTCTCCATCGATGACACACACACACTCTCCTCCTCCATTTTCCCCATAAGCACATTCTTTACGCAGAACTCAGAACTCAGCCATGCTGCGATCCTGCAAGGCCCGGTTGGTGCACAGGGAGTCCCAGTATCATGCCTCTTTTGGAAGGAAGCAAAGACTGAAATAACCAGAGAGCATCACTTTGCATAAAGGTGCCATGGATAAGCTGCTTTACTTGAATTATCTCTCAAAAACGAAGACATGGAGGCTAGAGAGAGAACTCAGCAGTTAAGAACACTTACTGCTCTTGCAGAGGACACGTTTCAGTTCCCAGCATCCACAAGGCAGCTCACAACTGTCTGTAACTCTGGTTCTAGGGGGTCTAATACCCTCTTTTGGCCTTCAAGGACACCTGCACTCGTGTGGTACACATAAACACAGGCAGGCACACACACACACACATACACATAAATGATACACAAATACTTTTAAAAAAAAGAGTGCAATACTGCAGATAGATTCTTAATTACAGTGCATCTCTTTTGCATAAACTGCACTTTTAAGTAATAACGCAGTATTTGAGAATTATGCAAAACTCTCCAAGGAACTCAGCCAATGCTCTTTTTAGGTTACTAAATTGATCACTTGACAGAATTTGCTTGAAAGGAATCCAAGAAATCATTACTAGAATGTCATTAGTAGTATTTGACTTTTCCATCTATATTATTTAAAGTTTATATGTTCAAATTGGCCTCCAGAGGGGTGTGTGTGTGTGTGTGTGTGTGTGTGTGTGTGGTGTGTCTGTCTGTGTGTCTGTGTGTGGTTTTCTCATTTGGTAAAAGAAAGCTGTAAAGCTTAGTTATTTATGTTAACTTTTCCTTGGTCATGCATATTATCTGTAGAAGAAAAGAAGGTCATGAAGGTCTCTTTTCCTGACCTTATGACCTTCCTAATCAAGGTCATGGGCGCAGAAGGGAGGCGTGTACAGCTTGAACCTGCTATAGCTTGCGCCTCTTTGGACAGCTGTGTTCCTGACATCTGGCCATCCAAGCATCCTGGGCAAGTGAGCTTTAGCCACGATGGCTCACGTGAGCCTGCCCGCCAGAGTGGTTGTCAGAGATGGTGCCCTCACTGACCTTTGAACAGCTGACTGGGTCTTTCTAAGGGTGGTGGGCAGCTCCCTGGCACGGTTCTTGGCAGGAGCTGGTTCTGTCATCAGGTGAAAAGCCACCTGTGTGCCCGCACCTCCCCTCCCATTTATCTCTCCTAGGCTGCTTGGGGTCAGAGGGACGTTCTATTGTCCCCTTTAGACAAGCAAGGAAATGCTACAGTCAGTCTTAGATTAATGGCAGGAAAGGAGATCTGTCCTCGGGGCTTTTGTGTGTTGATGAGGGTGGAAGATTTATGGGCGAGGATATTTGGTTCTCAGGGCTCACCGCTCCTGTCTGCTGTACCCCTCTTAGGGCAAACCTGCTTCTCTTTGCACAAACACAACCTACCCCGATCCTCCTTCCTCCTAGATACTGGCTAAACCTATTACCCCTTTCCACCTGTGTGCAGCCAGCACATACACAGCACAGAACATCTGTCCACCCCGTGGTGGACGTCTTGGGCGGTCATGAGGGCCTCGGTTCTGTGCTTGGACCCCAGGGTACCGTGAGGACTGAGGCAGGCTCTAGGAAGACACGTCCCTGTAGAGAAAGATGTTGCAGTAGAAAGCTTGGAGTGAATAACGGTCTGCTAGGCAGTCCCTCTGGAAGAGCAGGATGGACCCGATCTGGCAATGACTTTAAAACACCGAGCCCAGCAGAGCAGGGCACTGCTCCCAAAGCCACAGGTCTGAAACATGCATGGTACCACAGGGAGCATGTGATTGCCCTCCTCATTCAGGAATCCTTAGGCCAAGAAGGGGACTCCCAGACATCACTCTCGAGACGGCAGAGCTGGCTTTTGGCAAAGGCTCCTCCGGGGCCTCCAGGAGCGACCTCTCCATGTCCCAACTTTTCCAGCTGCAAAGGATGCTGAACTAAGGAGAGAGTGGCCAGTTACAAGCAAATTGGCAGCATATAAGGTTGTTTCTAATGAGTTATTTTTCTGTAGCAGCTTTATACATTTTAGTTTAGTCTGATTTAGGGCACAAGGTCTTCTTATACAGCTGGGCTAGCCCAGAACCCACTCCTGCTACAGATTCCTGACTCCTGGGATTATAAGGGCGCGTGCGTGTGAGTGTGTGTGTGTGTGTGTGTGTGTGTGTGTGTGTGTGTGTGTGTGTGATTTTGTTGTTGTTGTTAGGCTGGGTCCCATGTAGCCCAGGCTGGCCTAGTCACTATGTAGTAGGAGATCAACTTGAACTTCTCATCCTCCTGCCTCTTCCTCCCGAGAGTTGGGATTACAGGTGTGTCCCACCTGCAATGTCCAGTTTAGACAGTGCTGGGGAAGGAACCCAGGGCTCCATGCATGCTCCATGCATGCTCCATGCATGCTCCATGCAAGCATTCCACAAACTGAGTTACATTGCTACCCCTCTACAGATTTTTCAAAAGCCACTTTGTCCATTGGCTGCTCATCACTTTCAGCCTTTGGTGTCCAGAAGACATTCACTTACGTACTGGGTGAGACTCTCCCCTTTAGGGTGATTCAGAACATTATCGTCCTCTGCCAATTTTCATGGTAAAGGATGTACGTGGGGGTGGGGAGCTAGAGAGATTGTTGAGCAGTTAAGTGTGCTTACTGCTCTTGCAGAGGACTGGAGTTGGGTTCCCACTTCTGAACCACCTATAACTCTAGATCCAGGAGATCTGACACCCTTTTCTTGTCTCTGCAGACACCTATACTCATATATGTATATACACATACAAATAAAAAAAATAAAATAAGGCCAGGGTGGTGGTTGGTACATGCCTTTAATCCCAGCACTTGGAGGCAGAGGTAGGCAAGTCTCTGGAGTTTGAGGCCAGCCTGACTACATGGTGAGTTCCAGGACAACTTCACAAGGAAACTCTGTCTCAAAAAACCAAATAAATAAATAAGAATTAAAAAAATAAAAGATGGGCCTGGGCAGATCCTGGGGACACTAAATGGGACAGCTGGCTTTTACCAAATGACCTTCCAGCTTCCACGGCTGTCCAAACACCACCTTCTGCTCCCACCTCCTTCACCCTCTTTCTCCGTGCTCACTCACAGTCAGGTTTGTGCAGAGACTAGGGCAGTGAGGAATCCACCTTGGCGTGTTTGTTTCTGGGGGTGGAAGGCCAGACTGGTCCAGTTGGGTTGGCTGCTCCTGAGCGGCACTGGACCACTGCCCTGCTGAGCAGGCTCATGTGAGCCTTTGTGGTTAGAGTTCATTTGGTTTAACCCTGAAATCATATCACAAACATCTCTTCTCTCATCAGCCCACAAAATCCTAGAAGCTCATGGTCAGGCCTCAGATGCTAGAAAACCCACATCTGAGGAATATTTGGTCTGTAAAGTTATGGCTTCAAAGTTGCTGGTATTTCCTCAGCCTCTGCTCATGCTGTTCCCAACTTTGAAGACTTCACTCTTCTCCTCTTCCCAAATGAACAACGCATAGTCTTCCTCAATGCCAGCGAATGCCCTGAAAGGTCATCTCGGGGTCAGCACTGGGAAAGACCTTAAACTCTTAAACTTCACCTAGCTCTATGATCTTTCATCTTCTAAAAGCAATGAGTGTGTGTGTGTGTGTGTGTGTGTGTGTGTGTGTGTGTGTGTGTGTGCCATAACTTGTGTGCAGAGGACAGAGGACAATTTCCTGTGTTGGTTCCTATCTTCCACCTTGTCTGAGGCAGGCTGAGTCTGTTGTTTGCCGCTGTGTGCTGTATACCAGGCTAACTGGCCTATAGGCGTCCAGGAGTTCTCCAGTCCCCACCTCCCATCTCGCTGTAGAATCACTAGACTACAGATAGATACTTTCTCCTTTCTCTGGTTTTCCCTGCATTCTGGGGACTCAAACTCAAGTCCTCTCTCTTCTGTGTCAAATTCTGGGCCCGCTGGGCCATTTCCCCAGCCCCTAAAACCAATTCTTCTGTAGTTTGTAGCCAGAGTTTGAAAAGCATTGATGACTAGCAACTTTGTTTCTCCAAAATAACCTTTCTATAACAACCATTCCGCATCCGTACAGCTTTACCATGGATAGCATTAGCTTCTGTTTAGTCGATCAAAAGTCAGGGGAAAGCGTCATGGATGTTGGTCTTGCAACAACCTTGCAAGAGAACTATGCCTATTACCATCTCATCCCATTTTACAGAAGAGGAGATGGAATCTGAGGAAGACTCACTGACCTTCCCAAGGTCACAGAGCCCCGAAATGGCAGACTGTGCCCTTTGCCATGGCACACGCCCTCAAGCTCTTGTAGACATTTTTTTGCTGTGTCATAGGTCCACTCAGGTAGAGTTGTGGAGCGTGTGCTGTCGGCCAAACGTCTCCTAAGAAGTCTCGGTGTTTAGAGTTTGTCCTGAACACAGTGTAGCAGCCTGGCTTAAACTCACAGTCTTCCCCAGTTATAATTTCAAGAATTCAGCTTTATTGCCAATAAACTAGGTTCTTGGAAGGTAAGGCTCCCTATCTCTGTATTATGGTATGTACTTAACTTTCAAGACGCTTTGTATCCATTTCAGAGTCCAGCATAGATTTTATGACCCAGCACATGGCAAATGCTAGTCATTCTCTGGGTGGTGATGGTGAGGACATCAGCCAAAGAGGCACGATCCCTAAGTTTTGGCTTTTGCTTTGATGCTAACAAACCAGTTACACCCGGGCACTAATCCCCATTCCTGACCCACCATCCTCTTCTTTGGCCTCAGTTTCCCCACACAAACTAGAAAACTACAACCACCTTTTTGATGGCCATCTAGACGCTAGAACTCTCCCACATCACGTGAATGGAGGCCAGGTCTGAGAGAACCCTCCATGCAGGAAGCTCCCAGACCACAGCTGGGCCATATAATTGGATTTCAGCCTGGGGCATGAGGCACCTTTATAGGCCCCTCTTCTTACACTCCTGAGGCCAGCAGCAAGCAGAAGTCTTGAGTGAGCTGCAGGCTTCAGCCTCTAGTTTTTTAGGAGCTTTCTCAGTATTTAGTAAAAGATTTTCACAAGAAACATAACAATCTCCAAACTTCTCTTTAAGGAATCCCTCAACAGGTCACTAAAGAAACAAGAAGAATGTTTGAAGTCTGCTATCACCACTGTGCCGGGGCAATGCTTCCTTTGTGTATTTGTTTGTTTATGCTTTTTTTTTTTTGTGTGTGTGTGTGTGTGTGTGTGTGTGTGTGTGTGTGTGTGTGTGTGACATATGCATGCTACATCGTGTGTGGAGGCCAGAGGACAACTTCTGGGGAGTCAGTTCTCACTATCACCTGTTTGCAATGGTCTCTCATCCTGTTGCTCTGTGAACTGAAGGTTTGCAGGTACAGGAGCTTCTGGGAGAGTCTCCTGGTTCTGCTTCCGGTACTCTGTAGCAATGCTGGGATTGCAGATGTGCACTGTCACATCTGGCTCCAATGTGGGTTCCAGGGGTTGAACTCTGGGTATCAGGCTTGTGCGGTGAGCGCCCGTACCTGCTGAGCCGCCTCCTTGGCTCTTGGTCATGTATTTTGCAAACCTGTTTGCGTATGTCCCAGTGCCAGGCTGGGTAGATAGAAATCAAGAAGTACAAAGCGAGAGACAGTGTCTGTTGTAGCTTACAGTTTTTCTAGAAAGGAAAATAGGGAGCAAATGAACACACAAAACTGACTCTAAGTTGTGATGAGGAATACAGCACACTAACCTGTGCAATCTGGTTCTCATTAGGATTCTTGGCAAAGCTATTCAGCCACATCTGGAAAATAAAGGACTGTCAGTATGGCTTCGTAGGCCACTCCCCCTCCCGTGTCGCTCCACTTTCCCCTCTACAGATAGATGACCTGGGACCATCGGTTAATTACAGAAACCTAAACAGTCTGAGGACGGGGTTGGTTCATTAGAGGCTTATGGAGGAAGAAGCATTTAAACTAAGATTTGAAAGCTGGGCTGGCAGGGGACAAGCTCCGTTAGCAGAGTACTTGTCTTATAAGCATTAGTACCTGAGTTGATTTCTAAGCCCATGCTAAACAAACAAGCAAACATCAATGTGAATGCATGCTCATGATCTCAGTGCTGGGGAAGTGGACGCAGGAGGTTCCTGGGACTCACTGGCCTGCCAGCCTAGCACACTAGGTGAGTTCCAGGCAAGGGAGAGACCCTGTTTCAAAAAGCAGAGGTGGTCTAGCCTCAGGAACAACATTCACGATCATCCTTGAACCTCCACCTGCATATACATATATTCACCTGTGCATGGCATGTGTGCATACACACACACACACACACACACACACACACACACCCCTGCACACATCTAAGACCTTAGGTGTCCAGGAGAGGCAACATGGTGGGAGTGGAGAGATGGTGTGACCCATAGTAGACAGCTCAGACTCCCATTTGCTATACAATTGTGTGTTAGTCATCTACTCTCTCTGGGCCTCGGGTTTGGTTTGGGCTTTGCTTTTTTTTTTTTTTTTTTTTTTCCCTGTCCTGAAGTGAAGACCTGCTTCTGAATAGGAATGATGTGATGCAGGCAGAAAGGCAATGGCTACGGGGTCAGGATCATCTTAAAATTATTCCTGGCCACACACTGGGACAAAGGCCCCTGTGTTCTTGAGGTGAGACTGGGTTCTCCACTTGTGCCTGTGTTTGTTAGTATCTTTGGCTGTGATTCAACATCATGACCAAAAGTTAACCCGGGGAGGAGAGGGTTTATCTCACCTACCACTTACAGTCCATCGTAAAGAGAAGTCGGGCCGGGGGCTCGAGGCAGGAACCTGGAATCCAGAAATGAGGCAGAGGCCCTGGAGGAATGCCTCTTACTGGTTTGCCCAGCCCGCTTTCTTTTACAACCCAGGGCCACCTGCCCAAGGGTGGCACCACCCACAGTGGGCGGGGCCTCTCCACGGCAACCATTAATCAAGGAAAATGCCCTCACAGAGTTGCCTACAGGCCAGTCTGACGGTGGAGGCATTATTCTCAGTTGAGGTTCTTCTTCCCGGATAACTCGAGCTTATGTCAAGTTGGCAATAAAATAAAATAAGCCAACCAGGACACGTACACATTGTATGTCCTGAGTATGTGAAGAATCATGTCGGGGTGCATGGGGCCTGGAAAAGCTGGTCCCGGTGACCTATCCTGGGGAAAGTCAACAGACGTGTAAGGGGGAGGGGGGCTCATTAAACAGGCTTTCCGGCAGCCTCCTTTTCCAGATGTGCCTCCGAAGGCTTTGCCAAGAATTCTAACAAGAACCAGACCCTTGCTCCGTCCTTCACCTGAGGGTTCCAAGCAGATACCAGTCTCCCTCTGCTCACAGGCCAAGAGGGGTTTGTTTGAAATTCTTCCCTGTAGGAATTGGAGGCTCTGAATATTAGAGAAAACGGTTCAGATTTCCCATCTTTTAGATTTCAGCGGAGAGAGTTGGGGTTAAAATCTGAGTGGGAGGAGACTCGGAGGCATCCATGGAGGCCTCAGCTAGCCACCCACAGCAATCCCTCAGAGTTAACTAGCTAAACCCTTACATTAAAAGACAACAGTGAGAGCCCAGTGTTCAGAGAAATGTTTGCTCCGTTCCACGATGGTTCCTAAGGGTCCTCTGCCACCCAACCCACCCAGATGTATCCCCGCCCGTCAGTAGGAGTCAAAGACTGCACTGAAGCTAAGGACACAAAGGCAAGACCCCTGACCACAGCTGTGTGTATGAGGGGTTTGCCCCGTGCCTGTGAGCCAGGCTATAAAGGGCATTTCCAGCCTCTACTGCCTTTCCGGGAAGGCTATAGGTGTTCACAGGCACAGGAGGCTCTGAGCTGGACACAGCATCGATCCTCGTCCTGTGGCCAGCAATCCCGGCCTGCCTGGCCTCTCTGGAGCTCTGCCTGTTCTCTGTTGGGCCCGTTTCCGTCTAGTGTGTTTGCTGGGATCCTCTGTCTTGGCTTGCTCAGCAGGGGAAGGGGCGTACTTCAGACACATCCTTCAGCAACTCAGCCGAGACCCTCATCTCCTCCTTCTTGGTTTTAATCAGGGCTGAGGAGGGCTCATTCTTTTTCTGTCTGATGTTATCTTGTCTCAAAAAAAAAAAAAAAAAACCCAAAAAATAAAAGACAAAAAACTCTAGTTTTTATAAGCCTCTCTTCTGAGCAATGGAGATTTGAGTTACAGGAGTCTGTCTATGGGGTGTGAAAATCTGGCCCTTTCCTTCCCCATGGCTCTGCCACCCATCCTAACACCCACTCCCTGAGACCCACACACCTTCCCAGAATGACTGGCCCTTTGCGCTCACTTTCATCAATAGCCAAGCTTGCCAAGACAAACTCCCTAAAGTCTAGTGTTTAATAGTGGGTCATCTATCAAACAAGTGTGCCAAGGCTTAACTAACCAGGAAACTGTTTTTTGTTGTTGTTGTTGTTGCTGCTGTTTTAAGTTACACTTAAAAAAGAACTTTGCAGGACAGCCAGGGCTACACCGAGAAACCCTATCTCAAAAAGCAAAACAAACAAAAACCCTCTGGAAGCAAAACCATTCTTTTCATGTGTTCCAAAGTGTAGAGCCTCAGCATGCTATCAAAAATGAAAATGCTTGTTCAACCAAAGGAAGCCCATAAAGAAATATTCGGACATGTATTTAGGCAGCAAATACAAGGAGCTGGGAAAGAACTTTGGGGTTCCCAGCAGCTGCTTGCAGAGATGTTTGTTCTATGTAAGCCATTAAGTGTCCTTATCCCTCAAGGTCCTCATCTGAAAATGAGAATTATGCCTCTCCCCTGCCCCAAGATTTCTTGAAAGAATTCAGTGAGGCGAAGTTTAAGAATGTTCTAGCATGGTGCTAGTTATATGAAAACTGTCCATAGCCTTATGTTGGGCTACAGTTCTGCACTTTTGAAGTCTTCCATTATGTGCATTTTACTCTTTAATGAGACAAACAAACAAATAAACAAAAACCTAAGCCTGAAACACACCACCAGCAAGTCCATGCAACAGGGACATTTCAAAGCAGGTGATGGTACCCAGATAGATGCTACATCTAAGTCAGAAAACATCAGTAGTAAACAGACTGGGATCCAACCAGTTTGTCTGGAAGGAGAAGATCCCAGCTTGCCACTTTATATTTTGAGCAGGGTCTCATGTAGCCCAGGCTATTGCTATGTAGATGAGGATGACCTTCTGATCCTCCTGCCTCCCATTCCATAGTGCTGGGATGATGGGTGTGTGTCCACACTGAGTTCTTTATCTTTATGTATGGTGAGATATACTGGAGTGCCAACTTCTTTGACCACATGGAACAAGGAGGGCTTTCCAGAATCCCATTATTAGAAAATGATGAGTTCAGTGGAGATTTACTTAATCTGTCAATCTACCTTACACCCCCGTCGGCCATACTAAGAATTGCCCACATTCTGGAACCAGGTTCCTCAGAGCTCCCTCATCCATCACCCCCCACCCCACTTTTAATGACTCAGCACCAACACCCCACTTTCACTAACCGCCAAAGCCACATGGTTCCACCATCAATATTTTCTCTATGCTCATGCTCCATACCCTGATAAAGACTGACATTGTGGCCTGGCTTGTCACAGAAGCAGCCATTTTGTCTCCCTCCCCCCAATAAAGCTGCTGAGGTTAGTTGTGTGGTGTGATTTTTGTGGTATTCCTTGGCTCTGGATCTCTTAGACACTCTTTTTTGCTGCCACTCCCCTGCCCTGCCCCCGTTTGTGTGTGTGTGTGTGTGTGTGTGTGTGTGTGTGTGTGTGTGTGTGTACTCAGGTGAATATGTGTAAGAGGTTAATGACTGGTGTTTTCAAGTCACCTCCCCCTCCCCTTCTTTTTTGAGACAGGGTTTCTCATTGAGCCAAAGCTCACAGATTGGCTAGACAAGCTGGCCAGCAAGCCCCGAGAATCTGCCTGACTTCACCCCTCCCTCAGTTTTCTGGGATTACAGATGAATGCCATTGTGTCTGGATGGGGATCTGAACTCACGCTTGCATAGCAAATACTTCGCAGGCCGAGCTGTCTCCCCTCCTTCCCACCTACCGTCTCAGAGAGAAGGTTCCACATCTGAGTAGCTGGGCCACTCCAGGCATCATATTTCAGGAATGCCATCCATCGCCTCCCACGGTGATGCCCGGAACTTCCATTTCTGCTTTGGAAGATATCCCAGCAGGCCAGATACCTCTGGGAAACCCAAGTCTCTCCATATCCTTGGAAATGGCAACATTCCTCTCATTAGATTTTTTCCATTGGCATCCTGATGTAACCCATTAAGTCCATAGCGGCTTGTAGGAACCACACCTGTTTTCCATCAGGACTTCCCCCATCAGCCAGCACAAACATGTGTGATAAGTTGATGCTAAAATACCATGACACACTCCTTGGATTTGCTAGCATCTAACAGATGAAGGAGAAAGCTTTGCCTTTTATAGCTCTGAGCCTCCCAGGCCTGAAGCAGCTGGAGCAGTTGTCCGCCTGCTAGGCATTCATTACACACCGCTTCCCGACTCAGCAAACAGGCACCCCTGATCTCGAGCTCTACAGCAAGAAGGACCCCTCCATTGAAGGCCATCAGGTCCAGTGTTCCCAACTCTGAGTGTTCAACATCAACCACAGAGCTTTAAAAAATCCTTTGGCTGGTGGTGATTCGACTCATCAGGCGAAAGTGCTGTCACCAAGTCTGGGAGCTGAGTTCGGTGTCTGGACCTACACCGTGGAAGAGGACCAGTTCCTGAAAGTGCTCCTCGGACTCCGGATGCGGTGGCCCATGTACATACAGTCTCTCTCTCCCTCTCCCTCCCTCTCTCTTTCTCTTTTTCTCTCTTGCTCCCTCCCCCCCCCCATACATACACACACACTAAATGTAATTAAAAAACAAAAGCAGGTCGGTTGTGGTGGCACACACTGGTAGGATTTGTTAAAGGAGGCAGAGGCAGGAGGATCAGGAGTTCTAGGCCAGCCTGGGCTACACATTAAAACAAACAAACAAACAAAACACACAAAAACAGAAATTTAAAAAATAATTAAAAATAAAAACCCCTCAGGCTAAGCTTCAGATTCCCTTGGTGTGGAGAGAACTGGGGCAGCCACCCCTTTTCCACGGCTTCCACAGAAGCCTCAGTGCAGACAGGCTGGTATTGATAACAGTGACGTGGACCATGCCCAGGACAGAACAGTGGCAACTTCATGGACTTGGACACAGCAAGAAGATGTGTTCCCCACATTTGCTAGGCAAATTTCTCAAGCTGTTTGGAGCTCAGTTTTGCTCTGTTTGTTTGACTGATTTGAAAAATGAGTCTGTGAACTGCTCAAGCGTGAGTATTTGAACCCAAGACCCCAGAATCCATGTAAGACACAGGGCATGGCAGCATGTACTTGGAATCTCATCACTGGGGAGAGAGAGACAGGCGGATTCCTGGGACTGGAGGGCCACCTAACCTAGGCAGCTGAATTGGTGAACTCCAGGAGACTCTGTCTCAAAAATTCAAGCTGGGAGTGAAGTGCTGGAGTGATAGCTTGGCAGTGTTAAGAATGCTTAACTATCCCTGCAGAGGGCCCAGAGTTCAAGTCCCAGCATCCACATCACGTAACTCACAACCACCTTTAACACTAGCTCCAGGGGATCCAATGCCCTCTTCTGGACTCTGTGGGCACACACTCATACTATAGAAAGAAAGAAAGAAAGAAAGAAAGAAAGAAAGAAAGAAAGAAAGAAAGAAAGAAAGAACGGAGGGAGGGAGGGAGGGAG